TGCCCAAGTACACGCAGCACCCATGCAGGCACCCAGCACTCACGCAAGCACCCAGGCCACATGATTCCCAGTGCTTGATAAAAGGAAGACTACAAAGCCACATAAGCCCAAAGTAAACAAAGAAAAGGTCAAGTTTACGAAATCCATTACCCTTGGAGCAAAGACTGACCTGTTTAGGAAACTGGACTCGTGAAGGGTAACCTAAGTTTAAGTGGCGTGCGTGTGTCAGCTCCTCAATGCACAGTCATAGAGATGAAGGGGGTGGAGGAGAAGGAAGAAAAACAGGGACTCGCCTAGAAGTAAATACAGGTAAAGAAAGAAGTGAAAAGATAATAAATGGAGGGAGGTAATGAGGAAAAGAGAAGAGAAGCTAAAAAGGATGAATAAAATTCAATTCGGATTGACTTTGACCATAGTTCCTAAGACTTGTTTGGCTCATTTATTTATTTATTGTTCAACAAATATTTATTGAAAGTTACTTTTTGCTAGGCTCCATCTCAGCAGAAACATTCCCAATCATAGGTACTAATACAGCAAAAAGATTTGTTTTTCCATAATAAGCATTAGAACACCTGTGAAATGAAGTAGTTCAGCAGCTGAAGGTCACCATACCTCATGCCTCCTTCGCCCCATTTCTATGTTCCACTTGTTCTCCAGGGGAGTCAGCTCCAGGTTTGGGAGTATAGTGGCCTCTGGAGTCAGGCCAAGCAGAAAGTTTGCATCCAGAGGGGCAGCCATGAAGATGGTCTAGACTCTAAGCCAGAATACTGGGCACTTTCTCTTCTGGTTAGCCCCAGATGCTCAACTCTCAGATGTTCATGCTGAGTAGACTAGTAGACCTTCCCCTCCAGCTCCATCCCCATTTAATATATCTGGCGCCAGATGAACTGATGGGCCAGCATGCTTCTCACATCACAAAACCTAAAACCCTAGACTCTGTTTTATATAGTCACCATCCTGGGACAAGTGATGCAAACAGGCCCCTACTTCCAAGAGAAGGAAGGAGATTGGAGTTCACGCCAAGAAGAAGCCACCATAGAACTAATTCCCCAGATACATTAACAAATAACCACTAGTTTTAAATTGCCCACTGAGACTCCTTGGAAGGTCACCTAGAATAAAAATGTCCACAATCAGGATATTTGTTTGTTATAAGCCTGCCTGTAACAAAGTTATTATACATTAACTCAACTTCCTTTGTGACAAGGCTCCTTATAACTTCCCCTCCCTCATGAGGTGTAAAGAGAAAATGACTAGGACTCAGTAGTTCCCAGCAGCTTTTAGAGTACATGAAGACAACTTTATGGATTGCCTATGGACTAAAACAAAACAAATACAACAACAAACAAATAAATAAAGCCACAATCCTTATCTAGTCACCCAGTGCAGAATTCTAGAGCTCCAGAAGAATAAGATCTATACAATACTGTCACTTCCCCTATTGAATGACATGCCTACCAAATGGAAACTCATTCTTCTCCCTACGGGCACTTCTGGGCACCATCTCATTTCTTCTCCCCTGGTGCTTCTTTTCTCTGGGGCCGTCTTTAGGCCTCCCAGGCCTAGAGCCTACCTTTGGCTGACACTCAGCCCAGCTTGCCAAGAAGGGAATGCTATTACCAGGAGACCACTGAGACAGGGCCTCAGCTCACAAACTAGTGCTCTCCAGGGCTCTCTCAAAGTCTTGTGAGGATGCACCAGGGCAAACCCCCTAGGAGAAGCTTTTAAAGCACCTAATATTTAGCTCTAAAAAGTGTCTCAGCGGGTGAGGCACACATCATTGCTACTGATGTAGCCAGTCTAAACAGCAGTTTTCACTTTCATTCCCCCAGTATAAACATGAAGATTCAAATAAATAGACTATTCCTTTTATTGGAGACAGAATGGTGTATAGTGAAGGGCTCTGCAGACACACTGTTAATTGTGTCTCTGCCACTTCTTGGCTGTGACCTTGGGCAAGTGACTTAATTCCTCTGTGCCTCCATTTTCTCCTCTACAATATGGGGATGATAAGAGTTCCTACCTTGTGAGGTTGTTGTCAGAATTAAATGAGTTAGTACATGGAAATGCTTGGAACAGTGCTGGGCACAGAATATTTACTCATTAAAAGTAGCTGGGAGAATCTTTTTATAAAGGAAAATTCCTGGGAGAATCTTTTTATAAAGGCAAAGAAAATACAATGATAATGTTATAACTAAGGACCAAGTATAGAGGCAAAGGAATTTTCTGGAAAGTTCAGGAGAAAAGGCAATTTGGAGGAAAAGGGTAAAAGTATGGGAATGTCTTCACTTATCCAGAGAAGCTGTGCAATATTCCAGCTCCCAAGGGAGCAGACTGGGACTGGCTAGCTGGTCAGGATCCAGGAAGAGGCAGACTCAGGGACCCTGGGCTGCAGCCCTTAATTCAGTTCACTACTTCCAAAATGGCTTCTCTGGGGGTCAGGTAAGAAAGCAGGAAGAGCGAGTATGAGGAGTAGGGTTTTATTTTTTCCATCTGTGCTTGATGCTGCCTCTTCCACACAGAGGGAGAACCATTACAGGGCATTTTGCCCTTTGAACCACCTTTGTAATCTGAATTCCTTTGCTCTTCCACGAAATAGTAAACAAAATCAATTCATTAAGATGATGCTCTTTTTGCTTCTGTGTTCCTTCTCGAATGGCTAGCATTTTTTAAAAGGGGGTGGGGGTGGGGGGGTCTCTTGATTGTTTTAAATGTATTTGAGACCCCTTCAAAATACCTTTAAATAATATCAGGTAAAAGAATCTTAGAAAAATGGATGAAGTAGGCATGAAAGCTAAGATGTGCTCAGCATAGCCGACCACTGATGATAGGCATGCCATAGAACTTAACCAACAGATCCAAATTATTTAAAAGTCATTGTTAGATAAAAGAAGGATAGAAGAAGAAAGAGAATGTAAGAGGGAAGGTGAGAAGGGAGAGAAGGAAAAATGTTGTGGGCAGGGACAGCTTTCTGGGCGTGTGACCAGTAGTCATAGAGGGTCCCATGCTAGGAAGGGAGCCCTGTGGTTGGGGTATAATGCTCTGTGGTCGCCATCTGGAAAGCCTTAAAAGTTATATCTTTGGATTTGTGTTTTGTAAGTGAAGTCTGATTGGACAATGGAGCCTCGGCTCACACAGTCTTATCTCCCTGCCTCCTTGGCACCGTCTCAGGAAGGGTGAGGATCAAGCACATGCAGAGTCACAAGATGGGGCTCCAGGTACCTCTGAGGGTTCACACTTGTGGTAAGAATCCCCAACCCAAGGGAGCACAATACTCAATAGAAAATAAAAATCACCATGACTGGTCAAGAATAGCAAATAAAAATCACCAACAGGTTAGAGAGACACCATGGAAGAAAGGAATAATTTTTTCTCTGCTGTGTGAACAGAGGACTGCACATTTTCATTGCGCCCTGGACCCCACAAATTATTTAGTGGGCCCTTTTGTAGCATTTAACAGCCATTCAGCACTCTTCCTAGGGCTCAAAGTTAAGAGCTTTCAGTGCCCCCTGACCCTTGGTCCTGCGAGACGTTTCAGACCTGGTGTCAGCTGCTGACTCCTAATACAGTGGAAGCACACGCAGGGCTCAGTATGTAATGGTTCACTGTGAAGTCAGCGGCAGGCTGAGTAACAGGATATCCGGAGAGCCATAGGTGCAAATGAGGTGGGAGGCGGGGGGAGAGGAAGAGGAAAAGCAAAAACAAACGGGTGCTGTTTCCACAGAATTGTGAAAACTGACTCAGAGGGTCTAAAACACAACCCTGAGGTCAAATAAACAGTAACACAGTGGGAAGAATACCAAGAAGAACTTTTATATGGGAAAATTTACTATGAGGTAGCTTTTGAACAGCATTTGGAGCATACAGAGTTGCATCGTTTACAAAATTCAGCTCTGTCTTCTAGCACTGAGCCTGGCCCTTGGGGCTCCCAGAACGACAGGGTCCCTCCCATTTCCTTGACCTGCTTGTCATGCCTCCTGGGGACCTCCATTCTACCCATAAGACCTTGTGCAAGGAGTTATAGGGTCTCTCTATGGATTCATTGAGAAAAATCAAAATGCTAATGAATTATGTGGATTGTTTATAATCTTTGCACAGATATCAGGAGAAATCTGAAAGATAAGATTTTCCATTGTGTAATATAAAAGTACAATTTCTTTTGTTGGCCACTGAAGATTTATTAACATTTTAAATTACAAATGCTTATACAGTATTTCTTTTTATTTTTCAGCCCAATGAAAGATACTTAACTCCAACAATATGCATAGCATTTACTTATTCAGGCTGAAGAGATGTAGGGCACTCTCAAGGAAAAACTGGTGACTTTTAAAGCTAGGACAGGTTACTAAAGAGTATAGAATAGCCTCCCTTTGATACAAGATAAAAAGCTTATTATAGACCTACACAGAAAATGGACCCAGTTTAGATGCTACCTGAAGCTCTCTCCTTCTCACACTTATTTATTTCTTTATGGATCAGCTACATGATTATGGTCCACTTCCTTTCACAAAGGATTTTGGGTGATTAAATTTCATGCAGTTTATAGCAATGTGACCACTACTGGGTCATTTTGGTCATCATTATGCCACCAGTCAGTACTCATCATAGTCACTTTGTTCACATTACAATCAACTGCCAGTTTCTTAGCAGTCAACCTCTAGAGGCAAGTGAAGAAACAAAACAAATAGGTTTAATGAGCAAGTTATTGTCGAGGTGGCCCAACTACCTAGCAAGCTCTGACGTCTGTCAATTATACCTGTATTTAATTGAAGTCCTCCTTGGTTCACTAATTATGGAAGACAATTTAGCCCCTATGGGAGACAAAAATCTCTGCAGTGACTTGAGGCGAGGAAATTTGATATGATTTGATAGAATGTATTTTCTTTCTTTTTTCCTATGGAGTTTTTTCTTTTTACTTTGTATTTTTATCTTTACATGCACAGACAGGGAAGAGCACACTGGATTGTACATAATGAGGCTTCTTTGACTCTGTTTTCCAGAGTGGAAATAGAATTCTGTGTTCCATCATTCTGAGCCATCACCAGGGTCCGTCTATAATCAACTATGATGATGAGAGTGGAAAGACATGTGTGCACATCGCCGCAGCAGCAGGTTTCAGTGACATTATTACCGAATTGGCAAGAGTCCCTGAGTGTAACCTGCAGGCCCTGGATGTGGATGACAGGTATCCATGGCAAGTCAAAAAGTGTTGCGAGCTACCACTCATCTTCTCCAAATGTTAATCTTAACATAAAGAACATGTTTTAAGGAGTTATTCTATATGACTATATCTTTATTGCCAGTAATATTTACACATATGCTTGTGACAATAAAAACTGCTCTATTTTTGTCAGGGCAGGAAAAATCATTGTTAGGAAGAGAAACACTGTGACTGTACAGTATTGTCAGAGTTTCCACTTTTTGCTAAATATTCTCAGTGTTCTCAGAAGGCTTTCTGTACGTGAGCTTCCTGCTATAGGCACTTTTTGTTCTTAACAGCAAATCTTATTTTTTTCTTCATTCCTGGATTATGTCATAAAGTCAACAAGTTTTGTTAACCAGACAACAGCATAATAGAGGCTTTGTATTCAGAACTAGATGTGACCTTATTAAGATTTTTTTTCCAATCGTTAAAGAGGTATTGGCATAGAAAAGGAAGCTAGGTCCAGAAAGTGAAGAGACTTAACTCAGAGGTAATTAGCAACTAAATGAAAGCTTGTACCCTTACCTTCCAAACATAGGGCTTTTCACCATATCATGCCCTTCATCCATAATCAGCTATTAGGGCTTTTCAATTATAATGCTTATCTAACCTTTGTTTTGGTTAGACATTGAGTCAATGGAAATGGAATAATGTGATAACAAACAAGACTATTGAAAATAAGTATAAGATTTACATGTTATGTATGGTATTTTTGCCCTCTTTTATTGAAGTGCTACATTAGCCACTTGCTAATCCTGATTTTAGATACCACAAGAAGCATCCCCTACTTCCTGATACCTGAAATCCTTGTAACACAGGGAAAAAAATTCTTGTGTTCCACATAAATCTCAGAAGCTGGAGATGATTGACATGAAAGTATAAATCATTAAAAGCAGACCGTTTCCTAAAAGCAGATGTTGAGCATGAGCAGGTAAGAAAGTACAAGGACTTCAGTTACATGGCGGGGAAAGTGAATGATCCAAAAAGAGGAGAAAGGAACACATTTAAGAAAGGAGGGGTGGAGGAAAGTTTGCCTGCTTTAAAATACTTCTAAAACTAGCTCTGAATAGAATATGTCCTGTTTAGTATTATCACACACTTAGCAAAGAAAACACAGTTCCCCAGGCCTCAGGGAAGGAAGTAAAACCAAGGGGAGGAAAAAAAGAGCAAAAGATAGGGTGCTATGAGAGTTCAAAGTGAAGTAAAATCTCAAGAAGAGTCTAGTTCCTGCTGCAAAGCTCAGCTCACATGTTTTATGCACTGATCATATCTTATCCTCTATTTTGTTTCACATTATCTGCATCGTGCAATTGTGCTTTCACATTGAAACTGTAAGCTTGTGTCAGTAGTCGAATTTTTCAGAAATATTTTTAGGTTTTAGTGCTTTAAGCATTTGCAGTAATTGTGATTTCCCTTTCCTTCTTCTCTTTACTAGTAGAGAGAAAGTTTTTGTGGAAAGGGAAGAAAAATAAGGCAGTGATTTAAAAAAAAAAAAAGGATAAGGGAAAATATGAGGGAACTAGCCCTCCTGGATTTTGAAATACATCATAAATTTATGATATTAAAACACAGTGGTACTAGCGTAAGATTGATGGCACAGAACACGTAACCCAGAAGTAGTTTATGTAGCTTAAATGTCCCAAATTTTATCAGTCTCTGAGATCACACTTTCCTTTAATACCCAACTGATTTTAGTAGTAGTAGTAGTAGTAGTAGTAGTAGTAGTAGTAGTAGTAGTAGTAGTAGTTTCAGGTGTACAAAATAATGCAATAGTTATATTTTTCACCCCTCCCAAAGTGACAACCCCCCTCCCCCATCCACTGCCCCCTCATCCCCGATATTATGCATATCTATTACAATTCCACTGAGTCCATTCCCACACTATACTCCAAATCCCATGACTATATATGAATATTACCCAACTCATTTATCTTCAGGAAGGACAGTCTTTTATCAACCTCTCCTCCCTACATATTTCTGGGATTCTCCAGGGAATATTTACATGTTCTATAAATCATTCCTTGGCTACTGATATTTTAACCAATACAGCATTCTTGTACCCATCACCTCCTACCAATCAGAAGCTACCTGATCAGCCCACTGCTCATCTCTGATGAATTTCTTCTGAATCATGCACCCTGACCCTCCACTCCTCACTGTGATAGCTTAGACTAGTCTATGTTTACTGGACTATCCAGAAGCTCAGAGGTAAGAAAGTAACTGTAGATTAGATAACCTAAAATTGGATATTACAGCTTGCCCAAAAAGACTCTATGTGTATTAGTTAGAAGTTATCTATATAACCTTGTTTCTCTGCAAATCAATTTAAGTTTTCCCCCTGTTCTTCTAGACCTCTTCTTCCATGTTGATGGTCAGAAAAATTAAAACAGTCACTGTTAGCAATTATCACGAAGGAGTATTTCACAGTGCTCCAAAGTAAACTGTCACATGTTGGCAAACCTGACTACATTGATGTCCACCCCTCCATCTACTGAATTTATTGGCAATATATAATCTAAACAGGAGGGCATAATCTGGCTAGTGTCTTATCTAGTTTCATAATAAATATTGTCTGGAGACCTCTCTCATATAGAATGGAATAAATCACATCTGCCACATATTCAAATAAGCAGCATGATTGATCACTATATTGAAACATATATATATATATATATATACACACACACATATATATATATATGCCATCTTTTTAAATGTTTTCATATTGCTGCCCATAACATAACATGAGGAGGAGGAGGAGGATGTTTGATTTACCAAGGACACAGTCTGCACATAGGGACACACTGTGGATATGGCTACTCTTCAAATGTTATAATACTAAGGCCCAAGCTCTTTCACAGATAGCCCCAGCTGAGTCCGACCCTGCCCAGCCCCCAAGTTGCCTCATGTCTGAGAGACCACTTGGCTCTCCCAGGAGTGTCTTTCCCCAGGGTTCAGCCCCAGCACAAGGCTAAGAAGAGGTCTTCCATGCCCTCCTTTCCTTCTCTAAGATTGGTCCTTTCCCAGAATGACTGGCAGGAACTATAGCCATTTTCTTCAAGGGAAACCCCATTTATCTTGCCCTGTGCCCCTCCTTAACCTCCTATGGTTGCATTGCCTCAACACACCACACAGACATTCCCCCACCTACTTTTCAATAGCTCTGCCAAGGAAGCAATGTTCTGTCCTCTTTGCTCTTGGATCCAGCAGTCCTTTATGCTCTTGTCACTGTCTTGTTACATCTGCCTGGACAGCTGAGGGAGAGTTCTTTCTACTGTTGGGGAACTACTTTGCTCCAAATCTACTCTCACTTCTGGGCCTTGGCTTTGGAAACAGAAAGACACTATTTATCTTATCTATCCTGCTACATCCCCTGAGGTTGAGCACAAAGTCAATCTTCTTAAATGGGGGGAAAAGGAAGGGTAGAAAAAATATGTATATAGGTCAGGCTCTCAAAATATGATCCAACTACATTAATAAATGGTATCGAGAAAGTTAGCTATATAATTGAAAAAACAGCCAGATTGGCTCCCCACCTCACCAAAATGCACATATTGACTGCACATAGTTTTTAAAATCCAAATAAGTCTAAAAGAAAATATTTACTTTTTAACATTTACATTTGGTAAAATTTACTTTTTTTGGTGGACAGTTATATGAGTTTTAACACATTCATAGATGCTTGTAACCTCCACAAACAAGATTCAGAACAATTCGATCAATTCCAACTTCAACTCTGGCTGTCCTTTTGTAGTCAAGCCCCCTCTCATCTCTAAGCTCTGACAACTGATTAGTTCTCTTCTCTGTGGTTTTGCCTTTTCCAGAAGGCCATGTAATCAGAAATATGCAAGGTGTAATCTTTTGTGATTGACTTATTTCACTTAGCAGAATGCATTTCAGACTCATCTATGTTTTCTACATAGCAGTAGGCGGTTCTTTTTTTATTGCTAAGTACCTTCCCATTGTAGATGAACCACAGTTTGTTTATCCGTTCACCTGTTGAAGGGCGTTAGGTTGTTTCCAGTTCAGGGCGATTATGAATAATGCTGCTGTAAACATTCACATACAGGTTTTCGTGTGAACATAAGTTTTCATTTCTCTAGCTAAATACCTAGAAGTGAGATTGCTTGCTCATATGGTTAAGTATGTGTTTAACTATAGAAGGAACTGACAAACTATTTTCTAGAGTGGCTGTTACCATTTTGCATTCCCACCAGCAATGTATCAAAGTTTTAGTCGCTCCATATCTTCACCAGCACTTGGTATTGTCCGGGTTTTTTGCTTTACTTTTTTAAATTTTAGCCATTTTAATAGTTAAGTAGTGGTATCTCATTGTAGTTTTAATTTGCATTTTCCTAATGACAAATGTTATTGAGCTCCTTCTCATGTGCATATTTACCATCATACATCTTCTTTGATGATGTATCTGTTCTAACTTTTTGCTAATTTTTAAAATTGGCTTGTGTATTTTTTTTTACTCAGTTTTAAAAGATTTTATATATTCTGAATATAAGCCCTTTGTTGGATATGCGATTTTCAAATATTTTCTCCAAGTCTCTGGGTTTTTTTTCATTTTATTAAGAAAAGACTGGTTTTACAATTTAATAAATGTTTAAATACTGATGAGTATTTATTTACTTTCTGGCTGTTTAAGGAGTTTCTGAGCATAAAATCATGAAAGAAACAAAAAATAAAGAGGTAATTAAATGTGAGTATTTAAAAAATTTTTATGGAAAAATCACTAAAAACTTAAAAGTCAAATAACAAATTAGAGAAAATGTTTGCATAAGCATATCTTATAAAAGACTAATACGTTTATTATACAATGTACAAAGCCCATATAAGTAAAAAAAACTAACAATCTAATAGAAAAATGGGCAAAGGACATTGAGTCATTTCAATAAAGAAATTCTCAAATGGCAAATAAACATATATTTCAAGAGTTGAACCTCACTATTAATTAAAGAAATGCAAAAGAAAACAAGTGAAATATCGTTTTACCTACCAAATTGACAAAGATGGTAGTAACCCTCAATATTAGGGAAGGAGTTGAGACACAGCTTATAGGAGGATAAGTTGAGTCAATCTTCTTGGAAGATTGGCACTAAGTATAAAGAGCCTTAAAATTGTTCATACTCTTTGACCCACTGCTTCCTACTCTAAGAAATTCTCAGAAAAGCCAGAGAAGGTGGAAGGCCAGGGAATACTTAGAGTTAAAGGAGAGGCCCTAACACACATGCACCATCATCCTGGAGGCCCATTTAATACACACTATTTCCATTCTAAATAGCAAGAAGTTTTTCCTGCCGCCTTCCGACTTCAAGCGGGAGCTACTGCGGGCTAAGCAACTTGTACCATTCATGTGCTCAGACACTTGTGTTGTTCCCATGTGGTCCCCAGGACACCTCTGCACTGGGCTGCAGCTGCAGGGAAGGCAGAATGTGTGCAGTCACTGCTGGAGATGGGCATGGACAGCAGCCTGCGAGACATCAACGAGAGTACGCCCCTGGCCTATGCCCTGTACTGTGGCCACATGGCCTGTGTCAAACTCCTCTCCCAAGAGAGCAGGTGAGCACAGCTGGAGGCTCATTTCTTCTAACTCTCAAAGATTTATACAATTGGGTGACATTTTCTTAATAGCCAATGTGCAAAACCAGCAATAACTTAATAATGGTGTTTGCCATTATTCAAATATAGTGATATATTCTTGACGCTGTAAAACAAAATGATAGTAGTAAGCCTGAACACATCAGTCTAACATTCACTGGACTTATCTCTTCTTTCCTTTTACTCCCTGTCCTCTTCCCTTTCCGCCATGTTCTCTGAATCTTCTTTTTTGCCTAAATCAGCAGTTTTCAAACTATTTATTCTCAGGACCCTTTTATACTCTCAACAATTATGGAGGACCCCAAAGAGCTTTTATTTATATGAGTTACACATATCAGTATTTATTAGCAACAGAAATTAAAACTGAGAAATTTTTAATAAAATATTTATTTAGCTATTCATTTAAAGTAATAATAAACCCATGTTAACATAAATACCATATTTTTAGTTAAAATAACCTGTTCTTCAAAACAGAAAAAGAAAATTGTGATGAAAAGAGCATCATTGCTTTACATTGTTTTGCAAACCTCTTTAATATCTGAATAGAAGCTCAATAGAATACAGCTGCATTCCCACTTCTGCTTCTGCATTCAATTTGTTGCAATACATTGTTTTGATTGAAGTGTGTGGAAACAATTTGGCCTCATATAAATATGTTGTTGGACAAGGGAATATTTCAATAGCCTTTTCAGATAATTGTGGATACTTTTTCTTTGGTATTATACCAAAACTTGACAAGCAGTCATTTCCTAAAGGTTAGTTGCAATGTGGACTCTGTCTCCATATCAGTGACCTTTCTCTACTCAGTTACATTTAAATCCATTAGTCTATCTTGCACTTTAAGTGAGTCTTATACCATGCATGATTTTATAACCTCTTGCTTTGGTCCTTTGGAAAACATTGGTTCACTTAGTTATGAATATCTTCCAAATGACACATTTCATTACATAATATAAAAAAAATCACATTTGTTACTATCATCACTGATATTAATTTGTTAATATCATCTTGTCAAAAAAAACCCTCATATATCAGGAAGCTGCCAAGCTTACAGGGTGCTTTCAAGTTTTCCAAAATTCTAATTTTTGCTTGAAAGCTAAACTTTTGTCATTGGCAACAATTACTGTCAACTGTTTACCTTGAAATGACAGGATTACTTTGTTTATTTTTGAAAAAATTTCTGCAAATATACCCCCTCAATAACCATTTTTAGTCTATAAGTCATAAAAATGGTATTCCATGATAAAAAGTGTCTAGTTCAGCTGGCAACTCAATTGTACAATTGCTTTACTGCAAGACAACAATCATACTTTAGTATATAGTAGATGGCTTATGAGTACTTCCTATTTTGTCACAAAATGTATACTCAAGGATCAATATTTACTTTTACGGGATATTATTAAGTTAAATGATGATTTTTGGTAATGCAAGTCCATTGATGCTATTGTTTTGATTTGTGCCCACAGTTTCACCCGCTATCTCTATTTCACCCATGGTACAAAAAACAGCACAGTGAAAAAGGCAAATAACATCTTGATACTATTATGAATAAAGTTTTAACCTTCTGAAATCCCTTAAAGACTGTCAGGAATCCCGCCCCCGGGGTTCAGTGGACCATACTATGATACTCACTGGCCTAAATCACAACCTGTAACAGGAGAAGGAGATAGATTGTAGAAGATGCTGAAGTAACATTAATCAGCACAGGGGCATATTCTATCTAAGGAAACTTGAAAAAACATTAGAAATCCCCTGGAGTTCTTTCTGGTAATGTTAGGAGTTCAGAAGTCATGTTCAATATTTCAAAAAGACTATTGGAAGATGAAAGAAGAAAGATAAAAATCCATTCATGGGAATTAAGATTTAGTTATGCACCATGTGACCTGTAGAAAAGACACCGCTTATATGCAGAGAAACTAAGTGGTGATGTTTTTTTCAAATTACAGATTACAATATCTCACTCCAAAGAATAATGTTACAATCTGGCTTTTAGAGTATGCACGTGGGTCAGGTTTCATCATTAACTTATACCACAGAAAGCATTAAGTCAACTGTGGCCTCAAAATGAATTAACGCAGAGTTTTCCAAGGAACAAAAACAGAATAGTGTGCTTCGGGAAACTCTTCACGGAACCAGGGCCTGCCGGACACTGCTGACCTTTTTTCCTGTCTAATGTGCCTGCACATTTGGTGTTGCTCACTTTTCTTTGCCGGCCACACCCAACCTCTGGCATGCATACTTCCTCTTCAGCAGTTGAAGCCCAGACAAAAGCGTCTTTCCTTGGTTTCCTTTGGTATACTTTTTTTAATATTTTTAAGTATTTTTCAATAGGAAATTTTGTAAAAACTGAGAGGGAAACAAAAAACACACAAATGGCATAAAATATGCAGAGGTGGATAATGTCAGAGCTCTGCCCAGATCTCCTGGGATCCCTTTCAGAGAACATCTGAAATCACACTCCCTCCACTTCTGCAGCTTCCCGCCTTCCTCTACTAGTTGAAGCTTGAACTCAATCAACCTTTGGTCTTCATCTGTTTGACTTGAAGCTTACACTCTTAACTGCCTGTCTGTCCTTGAGAAGTGAAAACAGATGCTTTAAGTAATTCTTTAAGCTATTTTCAGCTTCCTTGATCCCTTGGTGAAAACAGATTATGTAGGGATATATTTTGATAGCCCCTGAGGGAGCAAGAGGAATCTAAGCCAGTTCAAACTGGGCAGAGAAACTGACTGTGGCAAGGAACCACTTCTCGAAAGGGGTTACAAGTTCTTGCACATCACTTTGACTTGAGAGTTGTCTCTGAAGAATCTGAGGCATTCTGCTCAAGCAGATGGAACAGAAGGAGGTATTTTGGTTAGTGGCGGTGTCTGCACTTCCTATCCTCATATGCTATTGTTATTTTATATTTCCATAGAACAGAGCCTGCTCGACCCCTTCCTTCCCAGAACAGTAGACCCCAGAAGGAGGGACGCTTCAGCATGCTCAATCAAATCTTCTGCAAAACCAGAAAAGAAGAGCCGAGGGCCTGTCAGAAGCATCACAGCAGAGATGCACACAGTGGGGAGAACACCTCAGAAGTTGATGACATCATCACCACCTTTGACAGCGTCATGGATACCAACTGCCAAGAACAGCCTGGTGATCAGGTGGCAACGACTGACTTTAAAAAGAAGACCTCAGAGAATTCAAAATATCTCTTGCCAGAAAAGAAGCCTCTGGCCCCTAAGGGGCTTCCACCAATCAGAACACAGAGTCTCCCACCCATCACTCTGGGCAATAACTTCCTGACGGCCTCCCATGGGGCTACTTCTCATGCTGGCCTGAGCTCTGGTACTCATTATATGGCCCAGCGATCTCAGAAAAGCCGAAGTGAGCAAGATTTATTGAATAACAGAACTGGCGCCCAGCTATTGCTAGATAACCCCTGGAGAGGTGATTCTAATCAGGTGCTCTACAAAGCTTGGACTGTGTCCTCTTCTGATAAGCTGCTAGACAGGTTGCTCACCAGCAGATCCAGTCACCAGGAAGTCTCAGGGCCTCCATATCTTCCTCATCTACATAATCCTTCATCAGGTAATGTCCTTGCTTCCTTCTTCCTCATTCCTGGCAGGCTCTATTAAGAAATGTCTCATACAGTTCTCGGTCAGGAACTAGAGTGACAGCAGTCTAGAGGGCAGGGCCAGCACAAAATGGGTGATCAGGGCCACCTTTGTTTCTTGAATCCACTGGATTCAAGGTTTCCAGGCTAGGAAAAGATTCTGCTTTTTCACCCTGAAAGCAATCTTAAATAAAAGCATGTGTCTTCTCATCTTCCCAGCAGATATTTTATACACATGTGTGTTTATATACATTAAATATGTATATACCCCCTTTTCAAAAAATGTATCACACTAAAAATTTTATTTTTATACTTTTTAAATGGTCCACAGGTAATTCTGATGCAAGCCAGAGACGGAACCATTGCTCTAAAGCAGAGGCTGCAAAACAGCTTCCACGATAGGTTTATTACCACTATATCTTGTTCTGGTTTCAAGAGAATTAATTGCTAATATTTTAAAACCATGCCATTTTATGTAAAAATCTAAAATTCTAGCTTCTCTTGAGAAATTGAAAAAAAAATCTGGCAAGACTGAACTCAAATCCTCCCTTGGGAATAATTGGCTGGATTTGAGAAATCACTCTCCCCTTGGACACCACTTGGGCATTACTGCCCCTGGTTCAACCCAGTCTACACCACTCTCTAGTAGCTCTACATGGAATGTCAGTTGTTCTTTTTCAATGTGTTTCTGTGGTTGTCTTTTCTATAGAAGGGTTAAGAGGGAAATATTTCTTAAACACATATTTCTGTCAAAAGTAGAAAGACCAAGAAGACTATGTGTTTTGTTTCTTTTTAAGAAGTGGAGGAGGGCCATATTTCTTTGGGAATGAGGATTATTCCTTCCTATTAAATATGCAGCCTGAGTCTGGCTTTCCATGCTTATGGCGTCTGAAGCCTGTGAGGTAGAATATGGCTCCCCTCGTACATGTTTATACATATTTAAGCACAAGATACATATGGGCAAGCACATGAGGGCTATTTTCCTGATGACTGAGGAAAACTCCACTCAAGATTTTACTTCCTCCGCCAAGTCCTGAAGCATCTGGTTGGTGGCATGGGTAATGTCTTTGCTTTTGTTCTGTGGAGGATATGGAAGGAAAGAGATTGATCTGCCATCTTTTGACACTTAGGGGCCTCCCTAGCCTCGACCTAGCCTGCTTTCTGGAGTTAATCTGGTCCTAGCTCAATTCTTACCATTTTGAAAATTTAAAAAAAAATTTTTTAAAGTCTTGTTCTTTTTCTGTTCCCAAGACACTCTTGGGCCATCCTTTCTTGATTAGCTTTTACTGGGATGAGCTGCTTATAACAGAAACCCAAAGTAACAATGGCTTAAACAACATAGAAGTTTATTGTTCTCATATGAAAGAAGCCTGAGTTAGGTAGTTCTCAGGTGTACAATGGCTCCATGATCACCAGAAACCCAGGGCCCTTCCATCTGTGTGCTCCATAGCGTATCATGTGGCTCCCATCCTTCAGATCCTTTCACAATCCATAATGGCTGACAGAGCAGGAGGAAGTAGAGAGAGGGGGAAAAATGGATGCCCCCAGCTGAATCAGCTCCCTTTAAGAAGACATCTTTCATTAAGTCCCACAATTCTGCTTATGTCTCGTTAGTCAGAGCTTTAGTCATATGGTCACACCTATCTGCAATGGAGACTGGAAATTGTAGTCTTTTAACCTGGCACATGGCTGTCTCTGCAAAATTGGATTTTTGTTTTTAAAAAAGAAGACAAGTTAGACATTAGATAGAGAACTAGTAGATTCTGTCACAGGTGCCATCTAAAACTTTTGATATTATTTGAAATAAGAGGGAAATTCAATAAAGTTGGTTTCAGAATTTGCTTCACTTTTCCAGTGAAGTAACTTGAAAAATCCTGAGGTGTCAAAACAGCAGAAAAGAAGCAAATTTTCCAAGGGAATCTTATATTGCTAGCTGTGCCTGTATCAAAGCATTTATTTTTTCAACCAATATTTTTGAGCACTGATAATAACTAGGACCCATTCTAGGCAACTGGGTCATGATTAAGATAAACATCCCAAGAATCTCTAGACTATAAATGAGTTTTAAGGGAATGTGGATTTGCTGAAATGATTGCGCAACTGACTTGAAATTGATTTTCTTCTCATGTTTAGATGCAAGATCACAGGGTTTTTTAATGGAAAGGACCTCAGTCATTTACTCATTCATTAAATGGTTAAGTGTCTATCATCCTAATTTATCGAGAGGCAGTACACTCTAGTGGTTAAGAGAAGGATTCTAAAGCCATACTGTCTACATTCAAATTCTGACTCTACCACTTACTTGCTGTTACTTACTTTCTCTGAGTCTTTGTTTCCTTATCTAAAAAAAAGTGGGAGACAATACCTAACTCACAGGGTTGTGGGTTGCTGTTAAGATTAAATGAGTCGATACATGTAAAGTACTTACAGCAGTGACTTGAACATAGTACTATATACACACGCGTTTGGAAGTTTTAACTGTGTGCCAGGCCCTATGTTAAGCAGTATGCCTTAGAAACTAACTAGGTAAGAGCTTTGTTTTAAATATGATGAATTTTAAGTAAGTGTGCTAGCTCACTGCCTATTGGCTCTCAGATCTAGTCTTCTGCTCTACCCTGTATCTCAGGGAACTATACTTCCCAGGCTCCCTTGCCAGCTGCTTCCGGGAAGCACTGGTGGAAGAGTAAGAACAGGGGAAAGTGGGAAACCATGTAGTTTTATGCAATGTCCCTCTGGTTTCTATGGAATCTCCAACAGTGGCTCTATCTCTTCCCAGCTCCCTCCTCACAACCCCTCATTTTGTGGCTCTGGCTCCCACTAGTTTCTGGGTCTTGGTAATACCATCCCTTGGCCTTATCCCTCCAGCCTAGAGACAGTTGCATCTACCTGCTGTGGTTAATCTCTGGATTGTCTTTCTACCCTGTGCTGTGTTTGGCTCCTCAGCTTTCCCATCCCCAGTATAGGCACCTTTTTTTAATGAAATTCCCTCTATTTCAAAGACCTACAGAGGTCTCTGTTTTCCTGGAGAAACCCTGATCAATAAAGCAAGACACATCATCTCCGTGGGCCACAGTTTCCTTACCCTCTGGATCCAAGGCTGGGGCCATTTTGTTTCTTGAGGCCCTTTCCAGTTATAATTCACACGGCCTAGAAAAGTTAAAACAATTCGCTCAAAGTCTTACAATTAATTAGTGACATATTCAGAATTGAATCCAGATCTCCTAAATTGGAAGGTATCACCATGGCATTGTATTTCTCTCTTTAAATCTCAAGTCCTGTTTGTTAGTATGCGGCAATGTGATTTTCTTAGAAATCACGCTGTCCTCCCCAAAATAAAAAGACTTTCCTGCCTGTGAGTTTTATTTTTGTGGACATTTTTAACCCAATTTGAAATGTTGTTTTTAAAACTACTGAGGCTTCCAGACTACAATTGGATGGGTTCACTTAAGTGGTTTAAGCTATTAGTCTAGGCGGGTTGAAACTCAGCAGATTTCTCCATTGAGCTTCCATATTTCATGTGAAAGCCTAATGTGGTAAAGCAATTAGATACTATAAATCATACCACTGAACCACTGGCTTGAACTTGGATGTAACTTTGGATTTTCTCCTTTCCTGCCCTGGGTTTAGTAGAAATAATATGGGCTAGCAGTTGCTGCTGTCTGAATTCCTGGCAGCTCATATCCTCTGCTTGCTTCAGCAACCCTGAACATTTAGCTGTAATGATTATTGCTTAACATTTATTGAGACCTGTCAGTGGGCTAGATGGAGAGAGATGGGGTGGGGGGTGAGGCACTTATCCTAATGAGGGAATTTAGAGCACATCAGCTTAATTCATTGACAGCAGCTTTCAGAGAAAATGGAACAGAAATCTCTGAGGTGTTTGCTACCAGCCTGGTTATTTACAAGCCATCACAAGGAAAGTAAGAACATGCTGGCTTCCTTTCTCCCTCAAGAGAGACCTTCCTTATCCAGAATTTTCTAGACTATCCCAGCAACAATGCATTGTCCTCCCCATGTAGATCTGACTCTGTGACCCCTCTGTTTAAACCCATCAGAGGTTTTGCATCTTTCTGAGACAGGGACCTTTTTTTTTTTTTTAACTGAGCCATTCTGCCACCTGTTGGCAGCTCAGCAGCAGCTCAGCTCAGGCTGGGACTTGAACCGCTGTTGCTCAGAGCTCTCACACTTGAGCAAGCTCTTAACCAAGAGACTGATTCTTTAGCTGGCTAACAAAGTCCTCCCAGCATGATGTGGCCTCACCTCCAATTCTCATCTTCTGCACCTCCCTTCTTTAATCATTTTTCCTTATCTCCTTGAAAAGTTCCTTGAACAGTTCCTCAGTTCCTTAACAACAACTTTCACTCTATAACATCTTTGTCTATGTTATTTTTACTTTTTCCTGGCTGTGTGCTTGACAAGATTCCTATAATCCTTTAAGAACCAGCTCAAAACTCACCTTCTATGTGGATGTCACCCTGACCTCTATAAGAGTTGTGGCTCTTGCTTACTGTGCATTATAAAGAATAGCTTTATCTTGAGCAGTGTACTGTGTACTTCCTCTTCAACAACACTGCAGGAGAGGAGTTTTTAATCCCCATTCTAGAGATAAAGACATTGAGGCACGGAGAAGTTAGCCCACCTGCCTACAATGAACACACAATGTGAGTGCTGAATTTACTTAACTTGTTTTAATTATTATCAATCCTTCATTCACTTCTGGCTCCTTCATTTAACCGAAAAGCTTTCCTGCCTTTTCATCCTAGGATGGTGTTCCTCAACCCTGTCCCCTCAGGCTGAACATCCCCTGAAGGTGCCTACAGCCCTGCCAAGGGAGCTTTGGGCTGTGTGCAAGCAAACTCCATCCTTCAAAACTGAGCCAAATGCCAGTGTAAAATGAAGTTTAACTCTCCTCCCACCTCCAAATCATGGCTACAGCCCCTCTCTGCCCACTTCTCTCATCCTATCAATATTGTTTAGGCTCCTAGTGAGGAAGGAGAGCAGGAGTTTTAGGGTCAAACAGACCTAAATTGGAGCCCAGGCTCTGTCACTTCCCATAAGTGACCCTGAGCCCTTCGGAAAACTCCTCCAAGCCACAGTGTCCTCATTTGTAAAATGAGGATGATAATAGTATCTATCTCACAAGGGAAGGTGATTGTTAGAATTGCATGAGATTATGCCGGCAGCATTTAGCACAGCCCCTAACAATAGTAAGTGTTTAATAAACATCATCCATAATTATCATTATCTCATTTATTGGTTTTGCAAATTTCTGCTCAAATGTTCAAGGATAAATAAGGTATGAACTGATATGGGTTTTACTGTAATTCTACTCAGGAAGGTTTTCCTTTTAAATAATGGCTTATCAAGTTGTTTGACCTTCAGAGCCCAAAGGAATGAAAATA